AGTAGAGCAAAAAATGGCATCAATAGCTACAGCTGCTAGATCCACCACCATTGTTAGGGCAACTCCATTTTTGGGCCAAGCCCAGAATAATAATCCCTTTAGAGATGTGCCTATGGGAAAGGGCAAATTCACCATGGTAATATATCAACCTTTATGTTAAAACAAATTTTCGTGTGAGACGGACTAACCGTTAGACGTGTCGATTTGTCATACATTTTGCAAATTCTTGGTATGTAATGAGTAATTTATCACTTTTACAATATTGTGGTAATGATGCTAACAAGAAAAGTGTGTTCTTTTATGTCATAGAGTAAGGATTTGTGGTACGGTCCCGACCGGGTCAAGTACTTGGGCCCGTTTTCAGCTCAGACTCCGTCTTACCTGACCGGAGAGTTTCCCGGCGACTATGGCTGGGACACCGCCGGTTTATCTGCTGACCCGGAGGCCTTTGCCAAAAACAGGGCTCTTGAGGTATATCGCTTAGCATTCTTTTTTTTTCCTTGATATGTGTAAGAACATTGGTTTGGCATCATGTCCGATAAACCTAAGTGTTTTCTAGAAGATTTCTTGTTAAGCAAGCAAAATAAATTAAAGGGAAGTTTTTCTATTTATTTACTTGTGATTTAATTAAGTTCCTAATATTTATTATTAATATATGGTATATATTCATTGTAGTATGTATTATGGAATCCTAATCCTTTAGGAGAAGGATTACATAATATATATCTTATATATTTACTTACCATATATGCCACATGCCATAATTAGTTCTCTTTTGCTTGTAGGACAAGGAATAGGTGGCAAGGACTATGAAAGGATGAGCTTTACATACAAGAAGAGATCTGGACGTTCATGAGAAGATCTAAGGAGGATTTGGAAAGATTCACCACAAGATCTTTGAAGATTTGGAAGATCGGCTATTTTTGGAAAGTCATGTTCTTACCAAATTCTGGAAGGCAAGATTTCCATTAGAAGTTCAATTCTGAAGATCTCCAAATCACATGCACGATTTATACATCAAGGAAACTTACCTTACATGAAGGATGTCGTCCAAATCAGAAAGCAATCTATTGAGAAAGAAA